CTGTAAATAGCCTGGGACCTGCCCTGGCTGTCCCATTTCTGTTTGACACTAACTTTTCTCAGGGGTGTGAGCTACTGGCCCTGGGTCTAAAGTCAGAAAAGCTTGTTTAGGTCCTGAGATAACCATTTGAGTCACTCTCAGTTTTCGGTTTATAAAACAGGACAACCATTTCTACCTGCTCTGATTTCTGCCGCTGGTTAGCTCGTTCTGAGAACCACCATCAAACGTCAGGCTGCCTGCAGCAGAAAAATGTCTGTGGCAGGAACAAAATGGCGGGGTCATCTTGGCAAAGGGCCTGAACCACACGAGGCCTCAGTTCTCTCACCTGTGAGTAGCATCTCTGGCTTCCCTGGATAGGTTTCCGTCACGTGTGTGTAGCTGACTCACGGCCTGGTGTTACTATGGTTGGCTATTCACACATATGTTGTATAAAATATAACAGGCTGATAATTATTTTATAATAATATAAAGGAATTATAATATTAATGACAGTATTCTTACAGTTAGGTAGGAGCAAGACAGAGGAGAATGGGCATAGATAATAACAACATACTTTACATTTCCACAAGCTACAGAAAGAATTTTGAAAGTTGTCACCATAAAGAAGTAAGTGTTTGAAGCCAGGCATGTTAACACACACCTGTAATTCCAGTGCTAGGGAGGCTGAGGCAGGAGGATTGTTGTGAGTTCAAGACCAGCCTGGGCTGCAAAGTGAGCTAAAGCCAGCCTGAACTGCACAATGAGACCCTGTCTCTAAGGAAGAAAGAAAGAAAGAAAGAAAGAAAGAAAGAAAGAAAGAAAGAAAGAAAGAAAGAATAATGAAACAAATGTATGAGAAGATAGACATGTCTACAATTTGATTTAAATACATAATTTATACATGTGTCAAAGCATCACATGGTAACCCACTAACAAGTATAATCTTGATGTTTGTGTGTATTGTGAATATTCTACTTTCCTCTGTTTTATTTATCCCTGAATCTGGTGCGGTCCCAAATACAGGCACACACGAGGTGCTCCTAGCTGAATGACCCCCTTGCACATAGCTATCCTGTGTGCAAACTGAATGGATCGCAGTGACAGGGTAGCATCCTCCTCTCCCGCTGTGCCTCCTCCATCCAAGCAGCACTGCAGAGGGGGGCGCTGGGGACAAGAAATCAGGAATCCTGGCTGTGGCTTTCCAAACTCAGAAGAAAGTGACTAGGCAGAAACACACAGGGAAATAATTTCTCCCAGATGAAAGAAACAACCCAGCCAAAGGGTTAAAAGTGAGAAAAATAAGAATATAAAAAGTTATAGAGAAGAAACCATTGGATGATTTCTTTACAATCTTGGAGTGCGAAAGGCCTTTAACTATGACCCTAAATCCAAAATCCATAGGAGAAAAGGTTGATAAAATAGCAAAAAATAAGCAATCAAACAAACAAAAACCTTCATGGAAACAGGTACCTTAAGGAAAGTCCAAAGACATATGAAAAGTGGGGACACAACACTTTCAACTCTTCTATGAGGGATAAACAGAGAAAGATCACCTACTTAAAAAAAAAATAGGCACAGGTACTGAAGAGACAGTCTATGGACAGAAGTGTCACACCAAGACGTGCGCTCTCATTCAGAAAGGGCAGTCACATGGTACCATCTTTCTCCAGCAGTGTTTTTCAAATCCAAAGGTTTAATAACACCTTCTATTGGCAAAGCCATATGGAAAGCAGTGCCCACACTCATTATGGAAGAAGGGTAAAAGGGGCTGACCTCATGGGGCACCACCGGGCCACATGACCCGAGGACTAAACCCAGATTTATACCACAATTGATGAACACATTGCAGCAATGTATGTAAGAACCAAAGATTGACAGTAACCTGAACACCTATCAGCGGGGGGTTGACTTGAATAAACTACAGCACGCTTACTTGCTAGATTACTATGCAACTATTTCAGGAGATAATGGAGGTACCACAGATGCAGTTCTATGGCAGAGTGCTTGGCTAGCATAGGTGAGGGCCTGACTTTAATCCTCAACCACCCTAAACACATACACACATTACTGATGACACAGTCTTTGTATACACGTGTTCACAGAAGCATTACCAGTGAGTCGAAGAGAGAAAATGTACATCAATCAGTAAATGGATAAATAAAGCATGACATATCCATAAATGAATATTATTTAGCCATGACAATGAATGGTGCTCTGATACATGCTGTGACATGGGAAATACTTGAAAACATTGCACTAAGGGGACAGCAAGTCACGATGTGCCACATGGCACCTGATTCCACTGCTAGGCAATGCCCCAAGCAGGGAAAACTACAGTGATGGGAGGATGAGTGGTAATCTTGGGCAAGGGTGGGCCAAGTAAAGGGTGACAACTCTTATTATTAGGGGTTTAGAATGTTCTGAAATTATATTGTAGCTATGGCTGCATAGCTCAGTAAACATATAAAAACATGGAATTGTGCACCTTAAATGGATAAACATGCAAATTATGTCTCATAATGCTCTTTGTCCTGGGGAGGCAGGACTGCGCAGATGTGGGTGAGGAGGGAAGGAGGACTTCCTGTTGTATGTCTTTCTATCCTTTCTGGGTGTCAAACGGCATGACCACATCTATCCAAAAGAGAATTTTAAAATGAAAGGGTCAAGCAAAATTAAAAAGAGATCTTTTTAATTGGAAGGAGAGATGAGAAAGAGGAAACGAACTCCTACCTTGGATTCACTATCTATTGATGGCTTGGCAGACAGCAGGTTTGATGGCACATGGGCATGGGCAGTCCCAGAGAGACTCCACGGCCCATTCATGGCCTGCGAGCCACCAATGCCACTGGACTGAATGTGCAGAGAGGCCCCACTGACCACATGGAGCATCCTCGGCTGACTAGAATGTTCTTTTCCACCTTCCCCCACCTGGGCCTCTGTAAGATTCTAAGAGTCACCATCCTGCCCCAGAGAGAGGCGGGAAATCCCCAGAAGTCATGGGAACCAGAGCTAGAGAAAGAAGCTCCACTGGAGGACAGGGAGGAAGGGAAGAATTTCTCCAGCTCATGGAGTCCATAGCTGGGCTCATGCTTGGCTTCAGCAGGGCTCAGACACAAGGGGAGCCAATCCCCCGCACCCTAAACCAGAGAGCAACTATGAGGGATGATTCTTAGAGCCCTCCGCTGGGCCTCCTGGCACGCTTGGCTAGTCACCAGGCGCTATACACCAAGAAAGACCTCTGTGGCCAAAGCAAAAAAACGCTGGGTTAAAAAAAGTCGCAGCCAGACGGTGACTTACATTACTCAGAAAAGCCTTGAACCACGCCAGAACCATGATTTGCTGGGTTCCCTCTGCAGGGTCCTTTGCAACTGCTCAACAGCAACAAGCACCCCAAAAGATAAGGGCAAAGAATATTTCTGACCCAAATCTGAAACGCACTGGATTCAATGCTCACTTTTGCAGAAAGGCATTTTTATTTTTTTCAATCAATCTGTGCCTTTGTAAAACGGACATATCACAAGTTGAGCTATTACTCTGCTCTGATTACCTTGAAAGAGGAAGCAAAGACACATATTTCTCAGTATCAGTATAATAAGATTGTTTATGTGAAACGGTCTCACCATTATGCTTAAATAAAAACACTCCAACAGTTTAAGAACAGAATGAGACCTGAAACTATAGCTCTTTGCCTGCAATTTATTGCTGTTATGCAAAACATTTTCCTATTTGAGCAAAACAGCATTGTATGTTAAATTACATTATTGTGGTTCATTTGCATTGTATTGGTTTTATATTTTTGTTTTACTTTAATTTGAAGAGGCTTTAGCTTTGATTGTTTCATGAGAACTACAAGCAAGAAGAAATATTGCTGTTATGTTGATCAAAATGTAAGAAATAGTAAAATAAAATTATTTTCCATTAAGTAAAAGTCAAAGCATTTTTAAAACTGCAGGCCTTCTCAAAACCTTTACTTGTGATTCTTCAAAAGAGAGTCTGACAGGTTCAAAGCGCTTTTGTGTTTTTTGAGGGACTTCTACAGGGCGGCAGCTGCTCTGTATGTCACAGCCCAGGGAAAGGTCTCCCCCAACATCACAGAGCCAGTCTATGAGCAGTTAGAGCGGGAATGCTTTCCTTCCTGGCTGGCCAATTCCACGACCCCAGGCAGCCTCTGTGGGTGCTAGGTCACAACTCTGGCTGGTTCCCAACTCCTGGTCCCGGTACCCAGGGTGAGTTCACCCTGTGTCAAGGAACCATCTGTCACAGCATGTCCAGCTCTCTAAGAAACTTCAAGTACAAGAGCCTTTGGCTTGGGATGTGTGTGGGGAAGTTGTTGCAGGACACAGATGAAAATCAGAAACAAAACATGCTCCAAGACCAGGCCAAGGGGGACTGGGCCTGGGAGCCCAGACTGGGCCCCTTCTCACATGGCCTTGTTTCTACCCACAGGGAGGGGCAAGACCCCTTTTTTCCTTTCTAAGCAGCAGGGTCTTCCAGGGGACCTTTGCTGCCTTTGAGCATACTTTTAAAACATGCACCGATGAAATGGTAAAGGATAAAAGGTCCCATTGCCTTAACAAATAATCATCAAGCAAAAAACACAATAATAACGAGATGAAACAAGAACCAGACTGGGTTAAAACATGCAACCAAACATCTAACGTGGGGCATGTTGGAATCCCAATCTTAAATCGACTGAAAAAGACACTAACAGGATAATCAGGTACGCATTGATACTGACCGGCTACTGAGTAACATTTAATAGTGGCAATGGAAGGATGGCTAGTTTGGGGGCTTGTTTAGAAACTTTAAGAGACGAATCTGGATGTTCTATAAACCACACCACCTGATGTTAAGGATTTGCTTTAAAATGATCCAGTGGGAACAATCCTGCCTGTGGCACCCTCCAGTGTTGGGTCCCCTCCTGGAAAGCAAGACCCACACCCCAAAGCGCCTAGGCTCGGACTCTGCACATGTAAGACCCGCAACCCAGAGCTCCCTCCCCACCTGACCCTGCTACTCACAATACACCTCCAGCCCCTGCTGCTCCGGCCTTTCGTCTGCTCTGGCCCAGACCACTCATTACTCAGGGAGTTTATTATTAGCCTGCGATTTGATTAGTGCCTGGGCTGAGCTTCCTGGGTTTTCCCCTCAACCTGGAGTATGTAAATCACTGGCCTGCCTCCCACCTCTGCGCCTGCGCACTCAGACCCAGGAACCTGGTTGAGCAGCCTGGTGCAGCTCTGACCAGGTCCCATCAGCCCTGTCCACTGTCCTGCACAGGGCATCCTCGCACTCCCATCCTAGCCCCTGACGGGCATCTTTTGTGTGGTTTGGGTAATTTCAGATGGCGCCTGGCCCACTTCAGGTTGATCTCTCCGGCCCCACAATACACCCCAAGCCAGGCCAGCTCTTGGGAAACCCAGCCTAAGATCTGCATGGTTAGGGCTCTTCTCTGGTCCTGGACAAACTTGTCCTACTTCATTGCCTGACTCTCTCCTGCTGTCCCTTCTGCAAGGTTCAGTGCAGGCAGCACTGCCTCCCAAACCTGTCCCTGATGCCCCTTCCCTTTAGGTGCTCATTCTCTGACCTTCTTTAGCCTTCTCCTCACCCCTATCAGAGCACTGAAGAGACTGGGGACTAGAGTCAGGTAGCCTAAGTCTGAGTCTTGAGTCTGCACTAGGTTTGATGGCAATTCACGTAGGTAATGTCCTGTACCTCCATGTCCTGTCCTGTGAAATGGGTATAGAACATTACCTGTCCCACAAGCCACTGTGAAAATGAAAGGCGTCAACAGTAGAGTTCTTAGAGTAAGTTCATGGTACACTCAGTTCTCCGCAAATGACATCAAGAATTAACACTGTAGGCCTTAGCACCCTGTAGTGTAGCTTGGTTCTCGGTGCTTTCCCCGCCAGGGGAGAGAAGCCCAGCATGGACTTCCAGGTCCATCACAGCACTATTCACAATAGTCTGGATACGGACTGACCTGCCTGTCCATCGGGAGATTTGGATAAGGAAAATGTGGCACGTATCTACCACAGAACACTCTTCAGCCTTTATAAGGCAGGGAATCTGTCATGTGCGTCCACATGGACAGACCTGGAGGACACTATGTTAAGCGAAACAAGACAGGGACAGAAAGACAAAAACCCCATGTGTTCTGACTCATATTGAATCTAGAGAGATCAAGGGTAGAATGGTGCCTACCAGAGGCTGGGGAAGGATACATGTTGGTCAACAAGCACTAAGTTAACTGCACGGAATGTGTAAGTACATTCTGGTGTTTTGTTGCATAGTAGGGTGACTATTGTAAACAATAATGTGCAACTCAAAATAGCTAGGAAAGAGCTGGGGGTATAGCTCAGTGGTGGCGTGCTTGCCTGACATCCGTGAGGTCCTAGGTTTGATCACTGGCACCAAGTGGTGGGGTGAGGAGGTATGATTGGTTCACCAGCTGGCGAAGTTTCACAGTGTGGTTCTATCCGGTGCTGGAGGTGATCTACGGAAAAGTGAATCTACTTCCTACTGGAGGCTGTCATCGGGCAGCACTAGTTTGGAAGGCAGCCTGCCAGGCCTATTAAAATGTAGGTGATGCACCTCCCCTGTGCCCCAGAAATTCTCTATCTCAGAAGCCCTGTTATTGATGACAAGAGACGAGGAACAATCTAAATGTCCATCCATAGAGGGTGGCTGATAACAGGGACCCAGGCCGTGAAGAGTAGAACACACAACAACTAAAGAGGGTGACGTGGTCTACAAGCTCATCAGAGGGCTGTAGAGTGAAAAAAAGTAGCTTATAGCATGGTGTTTCACTGTTAGCAAAACAACACCAAAAGCTAATTGTGGGTGCACATGCACACATGCACTCCCACTCTGTGCTCCCAGAATCGTATGCCTAGGAAGAAGTGCCCGGGAAGTCTGAGGGACAGGCATAGTGACAGCGACTTCTTCCAGCACTCCAGAACTAGGGATGGTGTTCTGAGAGGACTTTAGCCCTATAGGGGAGATTTTCATCTATGGTGTCAATAACAAGCAGCCGAACCACGCTGGGTTTTGAAGGAGGTGACCAGTAGACTCCGTTGCCAGGAACGGCCTGCCTGTTGAAACGGGACAAGCCGAGCAAGTGTCACTTCTGAATGCCTGCACTATGTCCCCCTGTCTTCCAGACTGGGGCTTTGCTCTCTCGTAGGCACCTGGCCCATGGGGTTTGCTCAGTCAGAAACTCATATCCACCTGCTGAGCAGACTGTGCCTTCCAGAAATGGAACTGGCCTTGGCCAGCCTGGCCTTGCTGTCCGGAGCCACACCTGTGCTCTGGTCACACAGAACACTTTGGGGTTTCAAAGCCAGCGTGTGCTCCGCCTGAGATGAGAACAGTCAAACCCAGCTGAGTCCAGTGCTGGACACTGGGAGTTGAAGGGAACAGGTCCCTCCTGTATCACTATTGACTCCTGGGACCACTATTAGACTCTTGTTGGTGAGACCCTCCTCCAGCAGCGCTGGAGGTTTCTGAGCCTCAATCTTCACTTTCCAAATCTCATTCTGAAACCAGCCCCTGTTGAGCCATTCCCCAGGGGCAGGCAGGTTTCTTCTAATTATCAGCTTCACGGGCAAAGTGACAGGTGAATTTTAGAACCTTGGGGCTGAGGAGCTGGTTCACTTATGTATATAAAATTAAACAGAATGCACACATGATAAAGGAAAAATTCAAACAGCATAAAAGGAAATACAGTGAGAAATAAGCTTCTCTCATCCAGACACTTTAGAGATACCATTTGCAGCCTTCTGGCCAAGCCCAGGCACTCAAGTGTGTATTAAGTGTCACCAGATAATAAATTTCCCCTCTTTCCCCCTATAAATTTTTTACACAATTGCTGGCTAATACAAATTAAACACACTGACTTTTTTGCATCAGTTTTTTTTTCATTTAATGTATCTTGGCATTCAGGCCAGATCATTTTTAACAAGATCTTAAACTGCTCATTTTGGCCAGACTCGGTGTTACACACCTATAACCCCAGCGCTCAGGAAGCTGAGGCAGGAGAATCACAAATTTGAGGCCAGCCCAGGTAACTTAGTGATTTCATGAGACCCTGACCAAAATAAAAAATAAAACAGGGCTGGAAATATAGCTCAGTGCTGAAGTCCTGCATTCAACCCCTCATGCCCTAAATTAATTATAATAATTATTAAAATAATAAATAAAATGTTCACTAAGAATAATGCTCATAGAAAGAATTTGTAGCGTACTCACTGTGTTATATAGGCATTGCCCTGCATCTGTTGGTTCAATATATATTTTACTTTCTTCATGTCTCTTTGAAGAGCTTGAGTCACATAAGTGGAACTGTTTAATTGAAGAGAATAATGTTGGTTAACGTTTCCCTGTGACATTGTCTCACACTGTGTTACAGCATGGCCGTCCCGAAGACCCGTGGCCAGGCCAGGCCCCTTTGATGGAGGCCCTGAGCCAGTTCTGAAGGTAAGAAACCGAAGGAAAGAAAAACAAGAGTATCCAAAATAGGATATTTCTTCGACTGTTCGGAGTGCAGTGAAAGCCCTCATTTTCATCAGTGTGATTTACATAGACCACTCAGAAGTGCCGTTTCCCAGGTTGCTAATCTCGTTGTTCCCTCCATCGGCACCCATTTCTGAGAAATGTCAGACAGCATTATTTTGGCAAAACTCAATTCAAAGAAGGGAACAGTAGTTTCTTTATAATGAAAATCCCCAACTTTCTGCGGGAAGACCTAGATTCTCTTTTTATTTTAAAACATTTCCCTTAACTTTAAAAAAATTTTTTATCTTACTGATTGATTGATTAATTAATTGATTTTCTGTACAGGAGATTGAACCCAGGGCCTTTGCCCTGAACTACATCTCCAGCCCTTTTAAAAAAAAAAATATTTTATTTTGAGATAGGGTTTTCCTAAGTCATTAATTTACCCAAGCTGGTCTCAAACTTAGAATCATTTTATCCCAGCTTCCCAGAGTGCTGGAATTACACATATGCAGTACCACCCACACTCTTGATCATTTTTATTATGAAATAATTATAAAAGTGAGAGCCAGCTTAAAAGGGAACCATCATGAGTGCCCGTGACACCTCCCCCTGGCTCGGCAACTTTTCACATTTGAGGATCCATCTGTCCACGTCCGTCTCCTTCTCTATCAAGCTACCTTCCTGTGGAAGCACTTAAAGGAATGTGCAGATCTGATGACACAGCCGCATGCTTCCGCGGTGCCCATCTACTAAAAAAAATGGCCATTCTGGGCTGGAAGTGTGTTCAACCGCGTAGGGCCAGCTTCGCATGCACAAGGTCTGTAGTTCCAACTTCATATTGAGAAGGAAAAGAAGAAAAAAGGAAGAAAGGAGAGAAAGAGAGAAAAGAAGATATTTTCTTACATAGCATTGTTGTCACACCCAAAATAGTCAATAATTAATTGTTCAATAACATCACCTGATATCTAATCTACGAGCAATTATTTCCAATTATCCTCAGGAGTTTTTCTCCTTGTCTTCTTTTGAATCAGAATCCAACAGGGGGTCACATTTTGTATTTTTCTGTTTCTTTGTCTTTTTTTTTTTTTTTTTGTCTAGAATAGGTCCCTGCTTTTTGCTCTTTACTTTCTTTTCCTTTTTGTTTTTTTTGACACATATTGATGAAGAGGCTTGGAATGTCCCAAGTCTTTCTGATGGTTTTCTCCGGTGCTGTTAAACTTGTTCCTCTGTGCTCTGGGAGTTCCCAGAGGCCAGCTTGTTCCCCACGAGTGTCCCCATGGGAGGTACACTGCCCCCTTGTAATTAGTGTCAAATCTGGGTAACGCTTTGGTGCTCTGTGAACATCCCGGTCCCCAACAGAAAGGGTGACTTTAGTACTTATTGATGGTCCTTGAGAGAAATAAATGTCACGCTTGCAAGCTGGTGGTTTCCTAAGCCTCCCATCTCTGTTTGTAAAGGAAAGCTTTCCTCTTTGCTATGGTTTAATAAGTGTTCCCTCAAAGGCCTACGTGTTAAACACTTAGTTCCCAGCCTGTGGCACTATTATGGAGCTGTTAAGAGGTGTAGTCTAGTGAAAGGAAGGTAGGTCCCTGGAGGTGAGCCCTCCACGGGAGGTGACGTGGGCCCTTCTCTTTTTC